GTCATGAAGCACCTTGGATAATCTCCAGAAATCAGTTTAAAGGGTAATAAAATAATTGCTGATGTAATATTTTCCCTCTAACTATTACAAAAACACAAAATAAATAAAAATAAGTATTTATATTTGTGTAAAAGCTGTTTAGATTGTCAAAAAGCCTGTGTTTTTAGGGTTATTAACGAAGTTCGTGTGCTCAGACCAGTAATATTTGGGGTCAGAAGTTTTTGCCATGAATATTTTGTGGGTCAGAAGATAAAAAGTTTGGGAACCACTGACCTATACAGCCACAGCTCAGTGAGAACTGTTAAATAACATCCAGCTCTCTGTGTGCAGCATTAAATCTCTGCTGAATCTGAAGTCCACAGCATCGACCAAAGAAACAACCGACTGGAAAGAGATTTTAAATGGAAAACCCCAAACGATGTAGACTTATAATAAACAGATAAGTGAACAGAAGTTGGTCTGAGACTCAGACTTGAGTTTTTTCTGGATTTAGTTTTTTTTTTTAATCTTCCAGCTGAAACCTGCATCCTTCATTCATCACATTAAACTCAGAGTTAAGCCCCCAGTAAAGGTTTATCTGAAGGCTGAGCTGTGTTCTCTATCATTACTGGCTCCAGCTGTTCTGTCATCCAGCAGCTGGACTGAGGTCTGACCTTGGGTCCGGTTCTTCAGAATGTCCTCCACCTTCTTCACGGTCATCTCCAGCACCTCTGCGTTCTCCATCTTAGAGTGAAACTGTGGTGGGGGGGGGGGGAGTCAGGTTAGATCCTTTAGAACCGGTGAGGGGCAGTGAGTTGGGCTCGGTACCGGCTCGGTTCTCACCTCTGTGTCCGCCAGCAAAGAGCGCAGCTCCTGCAGGCTCTCAGCAGTAACAGAGCAAAAGTGAAAGTGAAACTTACTGTCCGCTGCTCTCCACACTGCTTCTCACTCAGTGAAGCTCTTTCTGATTCAAAATACATTTGAGGAAAAGTATTTTCAGACGCCAAGTAAACTGTGTCATAGCACACGGGCGAAACAAAACACACACGCGCGCGTGTG